CGTAGTACTAATCAGCCCAGATGAGGCTTTGCTGCGCCAAGACAGCCGAGAGTAAATGGCGCGGTATATTCGATACGCCCACGAATCTGACGAGGCTCACCGCCGTAATAGCTCCAAGAATCGTGCCGACTAAGAGCACTGCCCTCCTCGAGATGGCCATACTCTGGGAGAAGTCCGCTGACGTTGTCCTTTCTGCCTCAAGGTCCTTGCGCACGCCTAGTTCAGTGAGCATACCGAGGCGCGGGAGATACTGGAACTCAAAAGTGCTCGATTCACCAAGACCGCCCGCTTTATGATTGTGGATCATAAAATACGCAAAGTTTTTGAATCTCTGTTACATGGCGTCAGCCACAAGGCTCTCGGGTTCGTATTAACCGTGGATATAAGGGGGTGAGAGATGAACACGTACTTGTTCTTGTCGCTTCTGCATGTGAGTGGGCATCCAGGGGTAGCTATAGCTTATGAAAAAGAGAAGAGTGCATTGCATCCATACGACAAGGCGGGATCGCAAGTCAGGCTTTTCAATACCGAGTGCGCTGGCGAATTCATCCCCGTTGAGCCTGTATGCGTGTGCGGCGAGTACCTCGCGTGGCATGTTCAATGGCGGAGCTCGAGCTTCTGCTGTGAGAATATTGTTTGCGAGGATTTGGGAGTTCGCTGATGGAGCTACTTCAGATACTGCGATCGACTCCAGCATGGCTTTGGCTTGTTGTGATGTAGCCATCCAGTCCACAGGTGTTCCAAGCAAATAGCCAACATAACGCCATAAAGCAAGATAGTCTGCAGTTTGTTGCTCGGATAAGTAGATCCCTTGTCTGGGAAGAGCCATATAGACAATAGCAGCGGAATATGCTGAAATAGTGGCGATTGTGTGTAGGTCGTTGATAGGAACTCCCCATTTCTCCATATCGAAGTATCCCGGGTTTTGATGCTCAAGTTGCATAAGCCGTCTTCGGACTGAAGCATGTAAGAGACGCACTCGTACTGAAGAAACATAGCCTTTTCCCCCGGGCTTTATTGCATCGAGATCGTCAACGACTTCCATGAAATGCTGGAGTGTTTCTAGAAGTCGTCGCCTAGTGACATTGATGCCGAAACCACCAGTCCGAGAAAGAGTCTCGACAATTCGGTATGCTCCCATTCCGCCCAACAATGACTTGTACATGAGCTTGCAGGGCAGTCAGTAAATTTGCTTCTTGATAGGGTTTTCATGACTTACACCGAAGAGAATCTGTCCACTGAACTGATACACGACCTGCTGTCCACGCTGAATCTGATCCCAGTCAACCCATTCAGGGATCGTAGAGACTTCTTCCCACAACTGACCCAGTATTTCATCAGAATTAGCATGCTTCTTCAATAGTTCGTAAATATCTCTCTGGCCCGGGCCAGAACCATGAGGACACTTCCATCCCTTTGTCGTAGGTGGCGAGATAAGGTCTAGACGATCGAGAGCATTTGTGGCCAGCTTGTCGTATGAATAAAGATAGTGGTCAAGCTCCTCGGTGGTCTTATGTCCGGGAGTCCAGTTGAATCTATGGCCGCCGATGATTCTGCTATCTTTAAAGCAAAATGGGTAGCGGTAGTCCATGGTTAGATATGTCATGGATCATGAACAAAGCCTGGAGTGGATTTCATAAACAAAGAGCCAAGAATATACTAAATCCGATTTCAGTTACGAGATGAGATAGTTTTTTACTCTCAATTTTGTCAAGAACTGAGCTTTTGACTTGACGCACCACGGCTCATGATGCTTCGAAAGGCCTTTACGGTACTCCTGTACAGGCTGTAGTGGCCCCAACGCGGATATATAGTATTAAAACACCATTGAAACTCTTCCATGACAAGGACAATATACCGAATAGCAGCACATGATGAGGGATAGTCTCTGCCACATCAACATACACTCCATCTCGGATCGAATGACAGGGGCACTAAGGATGATCGGCTCAACTTTTACTTCAACGAACATGTTGTTGGCACGTTAGAGAGAACAAAGAAGCCCAACGAGATGCAGAAAACAAGCGAAATGTGTAAAAGGGAGCGGGGAACAACACATTCCCATGCATGCCTTAGCCAAGACGAGTCTGTGATGGTTCAGAGAACATGTTAGCTTCACTTTTACCCGGAAGAAGCTCCGGCCCCCGCCATGTTCCAACGTTGTTGATGAGAGATGTTTCATAATGACACTGCATTGACATTGGCAGTCGCAGATACTTCAGCAAAGTCAAGGCTTCATCAAGTCTGAAGTGGGCACAAGACAAACGAAGTTGATAATGAAGCCTAGTTCCTGGGCGTTCGATGCACGACCAAAGACACTATAGGTTCGCCTCTTGATCATCCCGTTAGTTAGCAAAATAGACAGATTCTTGTGTAGCCAATAGCAATGCTGTTGACACACTTGAGGAAGTGTAATGGTTGAGTGGATGGATGGGGCATGTTTGACAGCGTGGCTCGAGCAACGGTTTTCATTATCCGGGATTTGTATCGACGCGAGCAAACTAAAGTATCTCGACTTGTGAGATGCATATAACAATGTGTTTTAAAGTGAGGAGGAGTGACTCCGAAGATGAAGTGGCGAGACTTTATGCAACACACCAACACCACAAATGGAGGATGGTTCCCTTTTTAGCGCCCCTGGAATGGGAATTCAAGTTGTGAGGGGAATCAATGACAACGACATCTCAATGGTAGTTTGGGTAGTATTGGAGAATAGTTAGGGCGCATGTGATACAGCATCGGGCACATCGATAAACCTGATACTGAAGACTATGGGATTTCGAAGGAAATGAAAGAGGATCTGCAACGTATCATACGACTTATACCTGAAGGAGAAAGCAATGAGGCGGCTTTCGAGCATTATATTAAGTCGCCATGAAAAATTAGGACAGTAAGTTGAGTGCCACATCGATTGATAGCTAGAAAATACCTGTGCGCTCATTAGTACAAAGAGATATTTGAACTCATATGATGCCTCCTATAAACAAAGTTGATGCAGCATTACACTGACTCTTGGCGTAGTGTAAGTGAGACACTTCATTCTCTTGCTGGTATAGTAGATCCAAGCCACATTGTTTTCGATCATTGGCGTTTATTTGCCGAGTACCAGTATGGATCTAAGATGATATGTCAAAAATATATAAACTCCAAATCCAAAAATGTTGACGTCTTCTGAAATCATGAAACTATCATGCCGCAAGAGGGAAGTTTGGGGAGATGCGGACCAACGTAAGTCCGTCGCACCAAATCGAGTCAAGCCCGCAATGTTCGGCCCCACTTCCGGACCCTTGCTCCCATCATGAAGCCTCTTTCCATTGACCAAATTTGGTTCACATTTTCTTGTCACTCTCGGGATCGCACTCGCCGATCCAACTTATCATGATGAGCTGTACCTGTCGAGTCACGCCCCTGAAAATATTCGTACAAGGCCTATCTCAAGTTCATAAAGTCGACGCATCGCCTTCCCTTCTCCGTCTGCCGATCCGCACTCGACCGGCGTTGTACCAGAATAATTTTGCCTTGGCGCGACAGGCCCGATCTTTACATCTTTCAAAAGCTCTACAAGATGCTTCCGGAGAAGCCGCTAGAGATGATGACCCTCTTTCTCACATTCGGTCAGAAGATGAGAATCGAGCGGTGAAAAACGACGACCCTTTCGCCACGGACGAAAATCCGGAGTCTATACCATGGAAAGCACAACCAGGCACCAATAACGAGGCCCAAAAACCTCGGAGGAGGAAAAGAGAAACGCCAGAAGATTTTACGACCCTGAACTATCGCCGAAACCAGAGCGTGAGACAGCAACTCGAAGACGATGGGGAGGCAAACGACCACAATAGCAGTCGCAAACGACGAATGAAGGGTCCTTCTTCGTTACAACCACAACCCAAAGAGAATTACTGGAAAATCCAAAAAGCGGCTCTGAAGGAGAAATTCCCAGAAGGCTGGCGTCCTCGAAAGCGTCTCTCTCCTGATGCTCTGGCTGGTATCCGGGCTCTCAACGCCCAGTTTCCCGATGTCTACACCACCGAAGCCCTATCGAACAAATTCGAAGTGACGCCCGAGGCTATCCGTCGTATTCTGAGGAGCAAGTGGCAGGCCAATCCTGACGAGGAAGAGAAGCGAAACGCGCGATGGTTCCGTCGTGGAAAGGAAGTCTGGGAGCAGAAGGCTGCGCTGGGTATCAAGCCGCCGCAGAAGTGGCGACGTGAGGGCATCACACGAGATCCCAGTTACCATGACTGGAAGAAAGAGGCGGTTGAGCGAAACCGTGAGAGAGAGGAGCGGGATGACCTGGAGATTAGGGGTGAGAATTCTCCTCGTCGGCGTGCTTATACCCCTCGATCTGAGGGCTATACGCCTCGTCCTGGTCCTCGATCTGAAGGTTATACTCCTCGAGCTCGTATTCCTCGAACCGGCGACTATACCCCTCAATCGGTCCCTCGAACTGGACGAGGAAGATCTTAAAAAAATGGCGAATGTACGATGGCATGATGAGGCTTTGCATATAGACCGGCGCTGGTGCATTGTACTATAGTTGTAAACTAACTCTACTATTGAAATGAATTATGCATGTTGGAAATTTATGTATGTCATGATGTAGCTTTGCAGGGTACTGGGTAGGAGGAATTCAGGTATATAAACAATCAGTATAAATCGGGGCATATAAACATCGTATCAGGAGTGTTTCTACCAATGGCTTGTTCATCACTATCACACTTTGTTGAATTTTCTCCTTGTCAATGGAGGCTCTCGTTTAAGAGCCTCGGCGAGGTGGGCTCATGGTGACAGGGGTAATCGTGTTTTGTAGCAAGCTGGGCGCTTAAGTTAGAGATGGGTTTCACTGCCACATGCTAACGTTTATCGAGTCTTGGCTAACTTGACCACTTTCTGGCCTTTTCGTTTCTCTCATAAAAGGTTCATCTTGAACTCTGCACTCATTCAATTCCTTCGCAGATATACAAAACTCACCTGATTCTTACTCGTGAATCATCCTCATCATGCCCACACAATACCCCCGGCCCCCGCAGCGTGAATCGTGGTTTGCGCCACTCTCCATTGATCTCTTCCTCAAGGTCCTCAACACAACACTTCTTCACCCGTTCGTCTGCTGGATCATACCGCTATGCTTCCGTGCGCAGACAGTGAAATGGGAAGCGCCGCCCATGGTGGCCTCTATTGCCTGGGCTACCATTGTGACGCTATTCTGGATGGCCAATGTGGTCAACCAGCGCATTGCTCACGGGATCCCGCGTGAGGTTGATCTCAGCGAGGAGGTAATTGTCATTACTGGAGGCGCAAGTGGAATGGGCCTGCTCGTTGCTGAGGTTTATGGCATGCGCGGCGCGACAGTGGCTGTGCTGGATGTGAACGAGATGGAGAATACTGAGGCGAGAGGCGTCACGTATTACAAGTGTGATGTTGGCGACAAGGATCAGGTTGCAAAGATTGCGCTCGAGATCGAAAAGGATGTAAGTCTTGAGCTTCTGAGACCATGGGATTTGTTACTAATGAAATACCAGCTCGGCACGCCAACTGTGCTTATCAACAACGCGGCTATTGTAATTGGGAAGACTCTATTGGATCTGTCGCTTGATGAGATTGACAAGAGTCTTACGACTAACCTCCTCGGACCATTCTACTGCCTCAAAACTTTCTTACCTGCCATCATTCGCGGTGGAAGGGGCGGTACCATCGTCAACGTCTCCTCTGTCATTGGCACGGTTGGTGCCGCACAGCTGACCGACTACGCTGCTGCAAAGGCCGGTCTCACAGCCATGCACCGATCTCTGACAGCGGAACTACGTGAGAGCCATCCCGAGATCCGAACAGTGTTGGTAACACCTGGTCAAGTGAGCACGCCGCTCTTCTATGGGGTCCAGACACCCAACTCCTTCATCGCGCCGGTTGTTGAGCCCGTGGATGTTGCCAAGGAGATTGTGGCTGCCATTGATAGTGGAAAGGGTGCTACAGTTGCTATGCCATTATACGCCCGTTGGGTTGACTGGCTTAACGTGTTGCCTGTGGGAGTGCAAACCATTGCGCGATGGGCAGCGGGAGTGGACCGTGGGATGAAGACGTTTGTGGGGAGAGAGGGACAAAAGCTTGAGTGAACTTGACGCTGGCGTCAGTCTGATGAATACGAAGAGTGTAAAGTTTCGAGAGGATGAAAAATAATAATGTGAAATTAGATGATGTATGTTTATTGGAGCATTAATACACATAGAGTCAGCACAAGCGGTGACCTGGGGAAGTGAATCCGAGGAACCTTTTGGCTGAATGAGAATACGGTATTCAACTCATGGAGTTCTAGGGATAGCCAATGGAGCATATGCCGATTCTAGCTGACAGGCTTCTTGACTCTTGTCAAGTTTGTCGGAAGAGGACCGATCCATATTATCTCTTATAGGCAAATCATTCATGAGAACCTGTCGCAGCCTACCACTAAACTTGCGTGACAACCTAAGCGAAAACGACTTCTAAGCTTACAAATGCATGAAACATGTAATAGACCTTGAGGGAGAACGAAATCCTATAGGAGGAGAAAGGGGATCGAGCGATTGACCCCTGGCTAACCGGGCTTTAGACAGTTTAATACCGTTGACAGCTCTGGACAGGTCGGGTTGAGCGGCCGGGTACAGAGAACCGCATCGCATCATGAGCTGGAGAGATGGAAGAGGCGTTGTGCAGCTCTGCGGGCGCTGTTTAGGTTGCTGTACGGCCGTTGGCCACATGGGATTTGTCTGTCGCTTGGACATACCGGTAAAGGTTAGGAATGGTTCATGATGAGAGCTCTATACGGGGTAAGACTGTTGCCTGTACTTATTGTTGAGTCTGAGGAGCTGTTGAGAAGAGAGTAGACGGTACAATATGTGTAGTAAGAATGTATGTATGTATGACACAGGAATGAATGTTTCAGCCCTGGTTCTCCTTCGGTGACGGAAATGACATTGCGCCCGTTAGTACGGAAGAAGCGAGGCCGGGTGAGGTTTCATGGAATGACCCGAGAGTGTGGAAAGTTTGCAAGCCTAATGAAGTCTCTTTCTGCCCGTGATGCTGTCTTTGTAAGTGATGAGAACCTAAAGAGAGGCTGGTATTGGTTTACTGTGCTGTAGGTGTAGGTGTAGGTTGGTTGTCAGTCAGTCAGTGGCTGTGGGGATAACAGACCCTGCTTGGCGGGGGGGGAAAACACCTAAACGTCATGTCACTTGAGCCTTGCCTACGCCCGCAGAAGCTGCACCTTGATCCATTGACGGGTGGATCGATTTTGGAAGTATTTTCAGCAGGTGCCCGTACATAGGTACACTCGAGATGTGAATCGATCGAGTGCTTGTCATTGTGTCTGGCTGATATTGATTGAATTGTTTAGTACTATAGCTAGGTAGGTAGTCCATCAACGTTGGATCCGATATTGGAACATGAGCACGCGACAATTAAGCATTGGATCAAAGCCCCTGCTTCCCTTGGCTGCAAGATTAATTACTACTAACTACAAACTACTTATAAATCGAATCGGGACCGACGACCCGTTGTGCTGTAATACGCCCGCTGGTTCCGTTACTTTGCGACATAAAACGCCCGCTACAGCTAGACCCAGGAGTTAGAGAGTTGGTTAATCCTTTGAGAGATGTTCATGATCATCTGAAATCAGACAATCGTCTAGTCACACAGCAAGCCACTACATCATACATGGCACAACACACTCTCTGTCTGTAATGCTGCTGCAATTCAACAAGATGATTTGCCCTATGCCAACTCGATCTTCAAAAGTGTCACCCAAGTCTCCCCCCAGAGAGACACTAAAAAAAGGTGCTTGCACTTCACTTTAGAGGCTAGGCCTACCTTATCTGACCCTTCTCCACCAATCCAATCACGCCGCCATCACATTCTGCACCCAGCCCAGGCCAGCCCGCAGCCACGGAGCGGGCAATCCCACTTTGGCTGCAGAGATAAGCCAGTCCAAGCCAGTCCAATCCGTCCTCCATTTTCTCCCACGCCCTTTTCTTACATTCATTGCAACTACATACAACTCCTCCAGCTTGAAGAACCCAATTGCAGCTCACTTGTCACTCAGTTCATCCTACGGACTTTGTTCTGGGCCTACCTAGCCATGTCCATGCGTGTCCGTGTCACGCCTTGAACCATGAGGCGAACCCTGATACTTTCTCACTTATCCCTGAACATCACATACAGTACAACTCAACTCAACTCAAACTGAATCATACATGCTTTCATATGAAACTACTCAGGTCCCCTGCTCCTAGCCTGTCAACTGTCTGTCAACTGCAACTGCAACTATAACTTACTGCAACTACTGCCACTGCCACTGTCACTGCTACCGTCTCGCCGAGTATTCTGACCTATCAAACTCTCATATTGCTTAAACTCAACCGTCAACCCAGGTAGTCGCCGAGAGATACACTTTATTAGTGTCCGTCACCTTATGAGAGACTCAATCAACTGCTATATAATCGGCCCCCAACTTCTCTATCGACAACCACAGATGCAGTTCTAAATCACAAACATCGCACCGCAAGGGGTCTTCTCCTACCTTTCATCTCATCAAGTGAGCCGTTTCGACAATGGGACAGTGGTGGGTTGACTCTCGCATCGAAGCTACCGTTACCCGGTCCTATGTCGCCAGCCAACTCCTCCCGGATGAGATTGAGCGCCTAGATCGTCCAGTCGCATTTGGCGGCGAGGACTTGACAGAGCGCACCTACTGGGAGAGCATTCGAAATGATGCGCCTCGTTTGTTCCTCATTCTTGTCGACCTTGGTGTGCCGGATCAGATCTTCGGTGTTGTCGACGATGGCTGGGATGACGCTGAGCTACCGATTGCCCTCGAGGACGTGGATCGCCTCTTGTTGACAGCAACTCGTGATGAGAAAGTCGAAAAGAAGTTTTACCAACGCCAGTTTCACTACCTTCTTAAGCCCTTGCAGCGAGGGAACCATGTGGCGTACAAGGACAACGAAGTAGTACCCCTAGACGTCGTCGAGAAGCCTTCATTGCCGACGCACAAGTCGCACGGAAACGACAAGGTCAGACTTCCAAATGTTCCAGGGGAAGTCTTTTATCGGAGACGGTACGTGCTGGGTAACGGACCTGGGACTATGCCCGTGCAAGACTTTCTCGATGCTGTCCATGGGATCAAGGGCCTGCAGAACGAGCACATGATCTCGTATTGGGCGTCGTATACGCAGCATGGATATGGATACGTTTTGTTTACGCCAGCAGGTGACTTTACTCTAAAGTCATTCCTGGCGACGACACCATCACAGTTCAAACATCTTGCCAAAGCTCGTCGGAGGGAGCTTGTCATGAACTGGATTTTGTGTCTTGTCGACACACTCTGTGACTTCCACGGAAAGAATCAATCGCATGGATACATCAAACCTTCGACCATCTTCTTTACCAACCAAAATCACGTCTTTTACTCCGACTCAACACGACTCACCCCCGACAACGTGATTCTTCACACTGATAAATCGTCGTTTGATCGTGAACGGTACGACTATGCCGCGCCAGAACTGTGGTCTCGACCTGCAGGAGCGACGAGCCTAACCGGTAGATTCCCGTCTGATGAGCATTTCGGTATGGTGCAGACGTACGACCCGAGCGGCTCACCAACAGCCATGTTCATTGCGCCAAATCCTCAGTTAAGCGGACAGCAAGCCGACATCTTCTCAGTAGGCTGCATCATCCTGGAGCTTTTATCATTCCTAGTCAAACGGACGACGAGCAAGTTTGCGACCTTTCGATCAGCGAAACACAAGACGGCTGGCCGAGGCGGTGCGGTGTTGGATACGTCTTTCCACAAGAACCTAGGACAGGTGGAAGCGTGGATGTCAGGTCTTGCCAAAGATGCGTCTCGAAAGTCATCGTCGAGCAAAGATGGCGCGAATATTCTCAAGGGTGTAACACCTATGCTCCACGTCGTGACGGGTATGCTGGCGATGAATCCATACGACCGACCTCCAGCGATTGAAGTGCAACAGCGCATTTATCAGATTCTGACTGAAGTTTGTGGTATTTCAGAGCCACACTGCGTACATCAGTACGCCCACGATCTCGAATCCTCGTTCGGGGGTTTGCAGATTCAGGCTGCTGGTGATGGCATGATGGGCGTCAGTCCGCCTGGAGGATCCAACACTACCTATGGGACACCACGGACGTATGAACACAGCCGAAATGGCAGCAGTGGAGGATATTCACAAGTAAGCCGGACGACAGGAAGCAGCGAAACCGACATGGATGCTATACACAGCGTAGGGTCAGTCGGTCTTCAACAGATACGGACTCAGGGTTCATGGCCTCGCAATATCGCGTATACGCAGCACACGAGCGTAGCGCAATACCCCGTGGGCCAATGGGATTCCACGTGAAGACATGTGATGTCCTCCTGGGATGATGACTTTGATGAGCTTGTGGGGACCGAATCCTTTTTATTAGGATTGGGGAGATGAAACGAGGTGGCATTTATTACCTTCTGTTTGCATCGCGCATGCGGTCAGCAAATTTGTGCTTCATTTATCTGAGGCAGGGCTGATTTCACGGCATATGAGGCTGACTTATACCAACATTGAATTTATTTGCCGGGAGCAGGTGGGAATGGAAAAGAAATTATCATGATCAACTTTTGACGAAACGAGGTTGGTTATTAGGATTAGGATTAGGATTGGTCATGTGGAATTATGCACGATTTACGATTGAATGAGACTTCATCATATCATTAGCTAACCTGACTTTACCTCGACATTGATTGACTGACTGGAATCACTGGAATGCATGCATGGAATTTATGCAGGGTTCAGCTTCGCTTCAGCTCAAAGGGTCCTGTCTGCCTCACGTTGGTTGTGTGTGTGTTTGAGACAAGCGTGGAAGTGAAACACTTGAAGGATTCGAGACTTTTGATGTCTTGACTAATAAGAAAAACATCAACGCAGCAGTAGGAAACAACGCATGATGTTTTCATAATAGCGATATCTTGCCGATTTTCGGGCCTTGCCGAGTTAAGCATCATGCAAGACCGTTTCAAGACATCCATGGATGAATGGGATAGGATAAGATGAACAGCCCCTTGAGGAGACGTACTGCACTGTACGTTCGCATGTGCCAAGGATATCCTGCAAGCTGTGACTTTGACAGTTTTCTTGTGATACAGATGCAGATAGAGATCACCATTATTACAACGTTTATCCTCCGACAGGTCGCTACCACTGGGTATGTACATATTCACCAGACCAGACACAAACTCAGTCAGGATGCCCTGGTCTGTAAGTTACGGGTCATCCAATCGGCGCAATGGTGGGACCGTGTTGCAATTTTTCGAGGCGTACGTCATGACCTATGGGAATGTGGGGGATTAGACTGGTCTGGATGGAAGAGGAGTACCAGTATGTAAGGTGAGTAGGCAGAGAAGAAACAGGAGAAACTTTGAGAGGAGAGAGGACACGCGGTAATCGCGCAGTCATAGGACAGAGGCAGAGAGAGGGAGAGGGCGACAAAGCTAAAAAGAGGGTCAACATGAGGGGTTTTGTTTATGTTGATGGTTCCCTCTTGTTTCTTTGGCTTGGTTTGACAGCTAAAGATCAGCCTCGTCTCCTGCTTCGGGCCAGTGGGCAGCAGCGCCAGTAGTTCAGGGGCATTGTGGCAAAACAAGTGCTTTGTGTGTAGTGCCATGAGTCGTCAAACCTCCTGAGGCTTTACCTACTATGTACTGTACCTTACCCGAGGGACTTTCTGAATAGACTGCAGTCTGTAATTATACCCACGATAACACAGAAACGAGACCTGTTCTGCTTGATCAAGAACTGCCCGAACGTTGAATGTGTCGTCAGTATGCAACTCAGCGTTACATTGGCACAATCCCAGCCCTGTTCGATCCCTCGATCCCCTGCTCTCCAGGCTGTAGAACTTCTTCCTCTTCCATCCCATGCAAGGCTGCCCGCCCAACGAAAGAACGCATCTGACTCAACTTCAGTAGCACGTCCCACTAAAAGGAAAACACTAGCACAAGGCTTGCTTGCTTGGTCTTTCTAGCGCCGTAAAGGGTTTTTCTTGGTACGAAATCAGGAAAAAGAGAGGAAGAAGACTCGAGAGTGTCCAATCGGTTGAAACTGTTTTATCGGGATACCAAACTGGAAATGGCCATGGGATGATCCACTTGAGCTCTAGCTTAGAAGGCTGCATACTGGTACATATGCAAACTTGCGTAGCTCGAATCAAGGAAAGGGATGTGGATAAAAATGGTGCAGAGCAGAGCTTGCAGGGGGGTCGATCCAATATTGATTGACGGGCAGTATGTATGTACAGTAATGAATGAAGAAGATGAGGATAAGGGTCAACCAACATCCATCATAAAATCTAATCCACTTCTTTATTAAAAACAAGGAGAGCAAGCGAAAAAAAAAAGCTTGAACTACTTTAATATCTGACTCTCCCCTACCCTTCCCCAGTCCGATCGATCAATTGATTATTCGTTCCTCGCATTATCCTCCTTTTCGTCATCAACAACAAATTGACTTCTCCTCCTTGAAGCTTATCAGGAAGCTCTTTTCGCCATCTCCCAATCAGCTCACTCCCGATAAAGAGAAAAGGCCCCTAAGCAGGACCCGAATCACCCCCCCACGATCGGAACGCCCACCCACACTCCTCAGCTCATCACACCTCTTTCTAAGCCGTCGTACGCGTGGCCGGCCCGTCCAATCGTTTTCTCTTCAACTTCCTTTACGGTTTTACGGTTATTCAGCTCGGGCTGCGCGCACCAGCGAGGCTACCAGGAGGGAATACCCACCCGCTTCGAACAAGGACTTTTTGAATCGGGGGCCTCGTCACCTTTCGTTACAAACAACCCAACCTTCGTTACAGTTTTTGGCTTTTGTCGTAGTCTAAGGGACAGGAAACCTTGGAAGGAAGGGAGACATAAAGGGTTAATTGCCTTGTCGATCGATCGTTTGCGACATAAAGCTCTCTTGTCTTGGATCACTATCTTTATACTACGCCCTATCCGTTTGATCTTTTTTTCTTTCTGGAAAGCTTCTGGTATCGTTTATATCGGCCCACGATGCGCTCGCCAATCTCGCTTCTCATCTTGCTCTGCGCATTTATGGCTTTGGCATGTGCTACTGAAGTTCACATCTCGAATAACAGAGCTCCCACATCTCAATTCGCGACACATGGTGAGATACTCCAATCGCGCATTCTTTAAGCTTAAAACACTAACATCGTCTAGGTGTTGCTTCCCAATTGCCTAACCGCGACCGAGACATTCACGCCCAAGACCGCGTGCGACAAATCGCCTTATCGCAAATGATCGACTCAAGCGCAAAAGTATCCATCCTAGAGACCGCGTCTCTCAATGTCAAGGCCCTTGCGCATGGTGGCATGAGCTTCCTCTTCGGTCTGGCATCTTCTTCCAACGACGTACTCGATTACATCAACAACGGCACCAGCTCTGTATTTTCACGATCTGTTACCAGCGAAGAAGGCAGTGGAGCTTCAGGGCGGAAACACGTTGCTTATACCAGCATTGCCCTGGTCCTTGTCATGCTCTTCTTTGCTGTGTGGATGTGAAAGAAAAACAAATGCACAGAGATACAGCACTTACTCTTTTTTCGCGCGCATATTATGATACCCCTACCGGATTTGGCGTTTCATCTGGGTCGGCTTTTTTGCATTTAATATTTACTCATTATTTCCTTTCTTGCACTTCGGTGCTGCTCCCTAGAGTGGATGCTGGTTCACGGTTTGGACATACATTCCTTGGTAGAGCTGGGCAGCTGTGCTGCATCCGGAAGAGAGTGTTGGTCGAATGGATGGATGGACGGATGAATGATTATGGTTTGATAACTAATTAATGATGGCTACGTAATGACGTGTTTGGAATATGATGTACATCGCATCAAGGGTTAGGTTGGGCATATCCCTACGAGACAGAAAGCTTGCAACATCTAGCCAGGATACCAAAATAAACTGGTCTAAAGGCCTACCAAGATATATCAAACTTGCCTCAGTTTATTATTCACTTAAACAGAGATCCTGCATTTTCTTACCTCCACTAGACGTATTCCAAGGAATACCGATAGATTACGTGGGAGGAAATCAAGCACAGGGTTGCAGTCAGTTTCTTGGCGTTTTGATAGAGCTTTAATATTAAGGTCTACTCAAATAATACATGTTGAGTTTCGGCGTCCTCCACTGAAAACATGTAGGATCGGCTAGTAGTGACTGCGACGCACTCGACTTGGGGCAGTCATATTCTTCTCCAACAACCTCGTTAACTCAGAACTTGGCGATGAGGGGACAATGTCTATGCCGAGACAGATACCCGCTGCTTTTTGGTATCCAGAAGTTACCTACAACAGAGGCAGGTTAGCTAGTCACGCTTGTGTTTGATGAGAATGAAACGGACCGTTTTGGATTGCTAGCTGGAGGGGACCTTGAAGAAGGCAACTAGAACGACAATTGCCATCACGATAAAAGCGATGAAGGAGATGAACAGCAGAGCGATATAGATGGCCTTCTTAAGGGGTCGAGCACGCCTGTGTGGCCCATGGTTTCGTCTGAGATGGACAGGAGGTGGTGGTATCACAGGAGGTGGTAGTATCACAGGAGGTGGTACATTAGCGCCGCATGACATGATGATTGCGTTATATGCTCGATGGGGATGCCGTCAGGGTTATAGAATGGTTATAGTAATTTCAAATGTGAGTTCCGAGTCTGGCTGAAAGAAAGAAAATGGTGATGGAGCTGTCAAGTCAAGCATTGCTCCTCTCGCTGAGGTGAATAAACAAAAGCCCATGCCATCTCTTTCCTCAAAGTCGAGGACGAAACCAACAACCTTCAGCTTTGGGTCTGTAGGTTGGTAGGTAAGGCAAGCTCGGGTGGCCGTTAACACGAGATGATTTAATTGAGCAGGTGCAGAGTCGAGGTAGGGTGGATTGCAGTCTATGACTGCCTTGTCTTCTGACCTGAGGCTGGGAGACCCGGAACTATTTTCGAAGTGGTATGAAGAGTTCATGCACCTTGAATCATTCTGACCACAGGCCTCTTAGCCGCTGAGGAGAGACATGAATGTTGTCATCGAGGCTAGGTACCTTATACAATCTGCTTTAACAGGTTGTTATTTCATTATTACCTGTCACCGTTATGAAGAACGAACAACACAGAACGCAGAGTATTTAAGAAGAAGTAAAGCTAGCCTAAAAAGAAAGTCTATACTCACACTCGATAGCGAGAACTTCCACGGTTTCTTTGCTTGGTTCGGAGCATCATCTTGCTTCCCACTCCAGGATGTTATCAGCATCTTTCATAGCAACAGCTTCAACTCTTAATCTGAGAATGGTGAACTAGATCAGAAGCAAACGCATAACTTAGGGACACACTTAGACAACTGTACGTCTGCCCCAGCGACTCAGAGCCGGCTACACTTTACTGGCACCTTCGCACCGTTATAGACCCCATCATCTGTTGAGTTTCCTGTCATCAACTTCTGCCTTTCGCTGTATATCATACAAAACATCTCACTCATCACCATCACTGGATGCTATGATGAAATCCCTGAAGAAAACATGACTACGGACATATGAGAGAAGGTGCATCAGCACTGCTTCGCTATTCCTATTGCCATGAACGACGACTCGGCCATGAGTAAAACTTGTTAACTATAAAATAGCACCACTAGGAGTATCTGGTTTGCGAAATAACGTCCCTTTCTACCTGTCTACTATAGAGACACTGGTGCAGTGCACCTGTACCCGATTCCCATACTCACAACTGCGGCTACCAGCACCGGTTCCCAGTTCCTGGGCTGTCTTCTGTCCCGCTCTTTGACACGAAGTACATGGCAACGAGATCGCAAGTGTTATCCTGACACTTCTGTTTCTTAGCACTCCTAACGTCTTTTTCTCGAGGCATAGAATTAGAATACTCCTGAACGTAGCCACAGTTGCCTGCCCTTAGGCCCAGGCCCTCGAATAACGAAGGCCGCTTTTATGCCTAGTTCAATTAGCCGTTCAATCAGGGAAGCTCCAGATATCCTCAAAGGCATATACTATTCTGTCGTTGGAAGATTCCTCCTGGAATTGCAAGACCAGAAATGATCGGCACAGCCTAACGTACCCCGTTGAATATCCCTCTATGTTGGTAGTGCAATGAGCATAAAAGTGTAGGGATACTCTTTGTGAATCTTCCAATTCTTCACGGCTTCAAGCTTGGAGGTAAAGGCGGCAACCTATAGACGGCGTCACTTACACGGAGAAGTATGGCCAATCACGTCTCTTGTATTGAACTTAAGATCGCAGTTTTTAACAAAGCTTTTCCCTGGAGAGCTTGGCCTCTTTGTAACCAATTAAACCTCAGAATCCCAATCCCCAGCCATTGTCTCCATCAATCTAAATCGGCGCTGGCAATGGCCGATCCCCGCCTTCCCATGTCAAAAAATCTTCAGTTGATGCAAGTATTGGCCAACCTTTGACGGACCTACCAGAAAAGCATAATTTTTTGATCCAAGAACAACATAATTGAACACAAACATGAACCTTCAGTGATTCAGCGGAACGCCAGCTTGATACTTGCCCTCATTGCATGCATACATCACCGAGGTTCTTCTGTTTTGAGGTGACTTCTTGGAGTTTTGCCGCCCCAGTTTTCTTCTGTGTATCGATAGTAGATTTCGTAGGGCCGTTTTGGAGGGCAAAAACTTCCAACAATCATCATCCGCCGTATCGACGACTACGCCGCCGCGCCGAACAGCACCACGCCTCGCGCCTATCCCTGAGAGATACTCTAAACCTACCATTGGACACTCATTTCATTGCTTATGCTTTAGTGAAGTCGAAATAATGGCTGAGCCTGGCCAGCCAGAGCTCAACGCGGGAATGTCCCCGACGGGTGCGTACATGTCCCGCTGCTTCCCGGCAGACATCTGTCGCGACGGACAAACCTTGCTCAATGCTGACTGTAGTGACTCTAGGGATCAAGAAGGAGCCCACTAATGAAGCTGACATTCTCGAGGGCCTCGGGCTCGACCTCGATTCCATCATGCAAGCTGCGACTAAACGACCATTCGAAGACGAGTCTAAGGGCGACGACCCATCTAAGAGGGTGAAGACTGAAGCCGAACCTCCCTCTGAGAATGCACTCGATCTTCCTCAAGGCGCTGAAGAAGAACTCGAAGATGGCCTTGCGCTTCTCGTACAGAATGCGCTCAGCAATGTCAATGACTTCGTCTTCGGTACCTCAAACGATCCTATGGAAATTGATGGCATTACCGACCATAACCTGCCTCCACCACCTCCTCCACCTTCTCCCCCCCCAGTCTCGTTCTTCTCCGACCCTCAGAAGTATTTGCGCAAAGCCAGTCGACATGCGCTTGGTAACTTGGTAGGTGGCGCGACTTGAGAGATACCACAGCGCTTACATGGGTGGGATAGGCACTTTCTGTCCTCCTCTTATTCTCGCAATCATTCGACGACTCGATAAAACCTATCCAAGATGTCGATTCACAACACGCAAAGTCATTTCGCGACCTCCAAGCTTCTTTTGCGCAGATCAAGCAAATATACTCTTCGGGGCCTGTTCTATCAGCCGACGACCCAGACCTCCACGACCACGAATCCCGCACGATCCTCGACCTAGCGAACCTTGCTCAATTCGGTATCTGGCTATTACAAACCACGCCATCCTATTCCGAAGCTCATCAGCACTTCCATGCCATCTTCAGAGGCCAAGTTTCAGACCTTGGTTCGGATGCGCTCGATCTCTACCTTTCCCTCAAAACCCAAGTAGCCATCGATGCGCTTGCTACAAAAACCCAGGAACAATCCAAGGAGCAGGTTTTGGAAGAGGCACTAATCAAGGGCATGGAGGAAAAGCTACGGGGGCTTCATAACGGGCTCGATCTTACGCCTGCCGATTCTGAGTTCATCACTTCCGTCCGAGCGAGGAAAACGTCTCTCGAGGGTGGAGCTTCTACCGAATCTGGTGAGTGATTTGTCGGCAACGAAGTAGAGCTTATTACTCACCAGTACTAGCTGTTTTGAGAGAAAAGTATAAGGTCGACGATTTATTGCGTCAAGTCTCGACATGTGTAAAGACACGGCTCGCGTTGATGTCAGACCTTGGATCAAGATTAGGCCATCCTATGCGATCTAGCGAAGAGACTGCAGTCGACCTCTTGGGCGATACGACCGGCGATGCGAATCTCGACTTGGACGATCTCTCATCCTTCTTTGAGAAGACAGCTTCTGGACTTGTTCAGGATGCTTTGGCTGGACTGACTGAAGATACCACTGCCGCCCCTGCCGAGGCAAATCCTCAGCCTGAGCAAACACCCACTGTCGCCGAAACAATCGAACCGCCAGCCGCAGTCGAGCCTACCAAGAGCCCCGAGAAGGAACCTACCTTGACTCCTCAGACAAACGGCAAAGTGGAATGCACCCAACAAGATTACAAGGAGCTGGAGGCGCTGGTAGCCCAAAGCACAGATCACTATGTCAAGACTACACTACATGGCTTGTCGCCGGTACCCTATCAGCCTACAGTCCCAACAAGCACGAGTGAGTTAGGTCTCAGAAGAAGACAAAGCTCATTGGCTAATGTGAACGCAGCCCAAACATATCTAAACCAGCTCCAACAACAACAAGCCCAGAACCCGTACTATACATCATTTACGCAAAGTATCCCTGAGCCACAACCACCACCTCAAGAACCGGGTCATCAGCTCCCACCACATCAAACCTGCTCAAGTGCATTGCTGTACGACAAGGCTCGTCAAGCAGCCCTCTCCAAGAATGCATCTCATACAAGAAGAGAAGGAATCCACTCAACACGTCGGCCGTGGACTCAGGACGAAGAGAAGGCTCTCATGGCAGGCTTAGACTTGGTCAAAGGGCCCCACTGGAGTCAGATACTCACCTTGTTTGGGGCGCAGGGCACGGTATCAGATATACTCAAAGATCGGACACAAGTCCAGCTCAAGGACAAGGCTCGTAACCTCAAATTGTTCTTCCTCAAGACCAACTCTGAGATGCCATATTATCTCCAGGCAGTCACTGGAGAACTCAAGACACGAGCTCCCACACAGGCAGCGAGAAAGGAGGCTGAAGAACGCGCAAGGATGACCTCGGAGGAGGACCAGGCTAAGATTCAGGGAATCATGACACTGGCTGGAGGGTTGCATAACTCTCCACAGGGGCAGGGAAGGGCTGCAGGAACACCAGCATCAGCCGTTGGTTCAGGGGTTATGACGCCTGCTCAAAATGCGGCCCAGGCAGTGTCGTCGCAGCAAAGCCAGGTGCACAATCAAGCAGCTGCCCATTCGTATAACCCAGCCACTTCATCGGGATATCCACCGTCGACTTTGCCGCAGTCAAGGCCAAGCGTTATGTCGGTAACACAACAGTCACCCCATCAAACAGCGCATCCTCAATCACAAATGTCTATGTCGCCTCAGACGCCGCGATCCCAGCAGCAGCAACTACCTCAGCAGCAGCACAGTGCTATGCACTCTCCCGCCCACGCCCAGGCTGCTGCTCAAGCTCGTTCCCATACGTCGACACCCGTCGGACAGCTACATCACTCCCCGCCGCCACAACATACACCAACTCCTCAACCAGCTACTCAACACCATCCTCAGCCTCACTTCCCGCCTGCTCCGCATACTCAGCTCACGTTCCCATCTCCTCCTCCACCTGCAAACGCCACGCCTAATTTACCCGCACATGGTCAGGTGCCAGTTCCAGATACGCAAACACAGATGGATCAACACATGCACGACAATGCTGCGGAGGCAGCGCTGTTGCAAGGACTTCAGGCAGCAGTGGCAGAGTCTATGTAGCACAACGTTACACAATATGCTTGAAAAGACGACCACATACAGTGGGATTCTTTTTGATGCACAACCTTGTTAGGCTCAAAGAACTGTTTGGTGTTTCTGTTTACTTTTTCTCATGCTTATAAATGTTGATTTTGACGGTGGACCAGTTGCTCTAAAGCGAGCCATGGCAACTAGGTACGCATCAGAGGGTGCTAGGCGCAGTTGGCTATATTCCTTTCCGCGCGAAAAGAAAAGTTTATTCTTCTATAGATAAGAAAGCCTCGACGGCTGAATTAAAGGAAAGAGGAGGGAGGGGGAGAGAGACTGGAGGGACAGAGACAGTGTAGTGAAGTGGAAGTCTGGCTGGGAATGATACCACGAATTAGGAGGTGAAATGATAGACGATGACTGGAAACAGCGGGAGATAGACAATTGAATCATCCCTAAACTTCAACAACCATTTTACTCTGGTACTGTGATATGCCGTGCTACTGATGATGAGTCAAGATTGAAGATTGCCATCGTGGGTGAGGTTACTCATGCCACAAGGTTGAAATGCCTGAGTCGCCTATTCGCAATCTTGCAGCCGGGAGCTTGCAAGGGCATCCCAGTGGTTCGTTTCACGATGCAGCTCGCCGTGTGTCCTGCATCGGTAGTGATACAGATCCACGTTGGTGGCAGCCCATGACTTCGGCTCTCTATCTTGTGATACGTGCCGTGGACGTTCAGGTCAAGGCAGAGCCGCATGAGCACGATAAATGAGGTTATAAATTGCCGTCTTGGTCCTGATTTTTGGGCTTGGGCCTGAAGTGCTGCGAGACAATACACTTTACCCCTTTTCAACATGTATCACATACCATATGAACTAAGGCGCGGCTGGGATTCGACCTGTGCGGCGTCAGGGACTATATGTCGCAATCCTGCAGTCAGAATTCAGGTGAATGGGCGGATGTATCCGTCAATTTATTGCGAGTTCCATGCGTGCTGGCAAATTCAGAACGGGAGAGCATGCCTTGAGCAGAAGTTACCCAGAGCCTCTGTTTGCGCTCGGCGTGAGTTGTTATCACCACTTCCTAACCAGGGTCAAATGGCTAATGACTAGGTAGACATTCATTGTCAAGCAATAGACAATGGAACGAGATGTACTTTGGATGTCAAGCAAGGAGATATGTTGGCATACAGATACTGCCCACAGCTTCGTAAGACAGTCCTCACACTCTCTGACTTCAAAGCTAATAACTACAGATCTTTGTGAATATCAGGATTGTCAGAATCTGAGATCACGACAAGACGATCAATACCTGCCGCTCTGCGACGATCACCGCTGTCAATACGACAGCTGTCGGAATCCTAGAGACGGCGGTGCTGGTGTGTTCTGTCGATCCCACACTTGCAACGAGCCTTACTGCGGTGCCTTTGCTCCAGGCACAGATCCAAACGATCCTCAACGCTTCTGCGAACGTCATCGTCAATGTCTTAGACCGCACTGTCCACGCCTCTGCCATACTCGCGAGAATGGACATCCCACACCTTTCTGTGGTGCGCACTATTGCGAGGCACATGACTGCGACGATGGTCGCGAGAGGGGTGCTTTCTGCCAAGCGCATACGTGTGTCGAGCCAGGCTGTGTAAGAGGGAGGCAGACGCCTGGTGAGTATTGCAGGGAGCATACGTGCCGGACTTGGAACTGCCGCATGAGAAAGATTGGGAGGGAGTTTTGTCCGCAGCACGAGTGTGCCTATGATGGCTGTGACGCTGAAGTGGAGGAGGGTAGGTTTTGCGGTCGTCACTATAGTAGACATATTGGGGCTAGATATGGAGGAAGAAGATATCCGGCCCCAGGGATGAGATATCCCATCTACGACGACGGTGAGTTCACTTGATCGATTCTGTTACAGCTGCTGACTTAGATCCCAAGGGATGGATCCCTATGATATGTGTCCAGGCATCCACGACAGAAGAGGATGTGGCCGAAGACCTGAGCACGACAGTCCATTCTGCCAACACCACGTCTGCCACGTCCCCAACTGTCCAGCCCCTAGGACCCGATCATCCCAGTTTTGCGTTGATCACGAGTGTCCTATAGAAGGGTGTCCTCGCCCAAGGAATACACGACCCCGCGGGATTAGAGACGGCGACTCGCGATTCTGCGATGAGCATACCTGCAGCCATCCTGGTTGTCCTATGCATGCTGATGAAGGCTCGGATAGATGCATGCTTCATGGGCATGGTATGCCTATGTATAGGAATAGGAACAGGAACAGGATGCCGGATGGCGATGGGGCCAGAATGGGAAGAATTCCTCGAGGTTTCCGGAACCGAAACTATGATGATGAGGATGAAGATGACGACGGGCTCCCGTTTCGTCAACGACAGTTTGGATGGGCTCAGCCAAGGAGCAATCAATTCGCAGCATGGGGTAGAGCAGTATGATAGTACCAAGGGGTGGCTCATTTCAGCCAGACACTCAGCCACAGGTGACGAGGACTGGTTTGTTGGGGGCCGTCTTTGGTAGGTAGGATACATTAGTACTTAGAGTAGAATGTAAATTGAGGCTATTCGCAAAGACATTCGCGATTGTGGATGCAGGCAGGGTCTTGACCGTGGCTGGGCCGAGCCGAAGAATAAAGTGCTTGCATTTTCATTTCTGCAAGGGCAAGCGGAAATGCAAGGGGTCCCGTGGTGACGATGATGCCTATTTTTGAAGATGATGGTGTTGAAGAGGAGAGACTGGAGGCCTGATGTACCTGTCATGCGGACAAGCACAGTCATTAACAGACTCTACACTGTACATCTTGCACTAATAGTATGGCTGCTCACAGTGTTGCTATTTTGTATGCACAGTCCCCTCCAGGTCTCTTGACTATCAGCCCAACCACGCGATGTCCCGCTCACGCTCATCAGGAACCAACACCTGCACATGCACGTCACTCAGCTAAAGATGCACGACACATGGCGATTTTGATCTTCTATAGGTGCCCTTTCTTTAGTAGTATTCATTAGCCGCAGCCGCCAGGGCTTTAATCTCGTTGATCTCTTTGACGCGCTTTGATAACTTCATTAATACACTGTCCTATCAGTTCAACTCGTCACCTCAAAGAACTTCCAAGCTACGACCAATGCATAAACGTAGCATCATTTGTTATAAGACTTGTCTCTTTAAACTATTGTATCTGGTGAACCCTCTTCTGGGCGTATTGCTGACTTCCTCTGTCTGTCTGTCTGTCTGTCTGCCTGCTCTGTAAAATGACCACCATCATCGATGAGACAAAATCAACAGATGGCCACGCGCCACTCCAAGGACTCGAAAATATTCATGTTGGTTCTTCCTTTTCAACCTAAACTAATTTTAAAGTCCCATACTTTGTAAATGCCCTGCCACAGTTTGAGTCCTACGCTCCAACTCAGACACTCACTTACACTTTACCGCATCATACGCTTCTACAAGCCACGATGTTGAGAATTTCGCGTCCGCGTGCTTCTCAAAGTGGAACATTCAAGTCGAAATGTCTTTAATTCGAGTTCTCTGCGATTGTTTCATCATAAGCGATTGCTTATAAAAACCATTTGCTCCTCACGGGCATAATTCCCTTGTTCAAACACTTCTGACCTTCTTTGATCACCTGCATTGACCCGACTGTCTCTTTCAACTGTCATTCTTTATATCCGTGGGAGCTATTTCGAGACAATAATAGGTCATTCATATCACTGCAAGACCTTGTTGTAAGTCTCAACCCATCGAGACACTCTCCTTATATCTTCCATCATACCCAACTATCTTAAACCCGGATCTTCTGTCTTCTAAACTTGACGCAACTCTCGACAATCTCGACTATCCAACACAAAAAGAAACTCAGTGAAACGAAACATCGATCGACATGTCTCGTCGCTGTTATGTCGAGACCAGCCCTGATGGACGTCCTCAACTCGTAACCATCAAGCGTTCCCGATCTTACCACCACTCCCACCGCCATCCATGCGACTACTACAAAGTCAGCCGCGAAGAATGGAGGACTCTTGTACGACAGAACGAACTTCTCGATGAGGCCAACCAAGCATACGCTTCCCAGAACGAAACCCTTCGATCTCGGCTTCACAGCTCCGAGGCAGAGACTCATCGACTATGCCACGTCGTCATCCCCTCTCTAAACGACCAAATCGCCAAACTCTCTCGCGAGAACGAATGTCTTCGTCGTACAGCCGAAAAGCCCTGTGACCCCCCAGTTCACACCTATCACTTCGAGCTGGAGACGCTGCGTGCCAAGATATGCAGACTTGAAAAGGAGAACAAGACTCTACGAGATGACAATGGAGATCTTCGCTTTAGAGTACGCGAGCTGTCTAAGCAGATCGACCAGAGCATCAGTCGTAGAGTTGCGGATTTGACTAAGCAGATCGAGTACTGGACGAACCAGTCTGGATTCTGGAAGAAGAAGTACGATGAACTACGCGAGCGACATCTTGGTCTCATTACAATTGTCGAGTCCAAGACTGAGAAGATGGAGTATTACGATGATGTTCTGAAGCGACGGCGCGTTTGTTAATGTCTTATCCGGCCTTTCTTTATAACCTTGAATGGTTTTGTTATGAGTATCATGATATTATTGAAATAGAACAATAGTCAAGGTCCAGACGGGTCCTTGCTCCCACCTTTGTTAACACCGCCATCATCTGGCACTATTCCCTTTCGCGATTCCTTTCTTCCATAGAGGCCTTGTTCTTTTGTTGCCAAGGTATGAATAAGCCTCTCAATCTCATTTGATGGTTTACTGACACTCTGCAGTTGGATATTCCCCTTTCTGGATAGAGGTTAGGTTTCAGGTCATATGAACTCAAGGTAACCTATGTCTTTTGCCATGGTTACATTCTACTACAAGAGGAGGTATAGCAATACGTTAGACGGAGTTGGTTCATACACAGATACTCTATGTGGCTGAATAGAGAGAATGATAGTCTCCCACTAAGAACAACTTGCACCCCTCATGGATTGACAAACATAACTATTATATGTGGCCGCGTGGCCAAGGTAGACTGCATAAGTACTATCTCGTGACGCATGAATCCCAACATAAACAAAAAGGAGGGAATGGTCATGAGAACTCGACTCAACTCAGGGTAGTATCCAGATATAAAATGTCTTAGAAACTTCACTTTTGCAAAGACACTAAGCATCAGGTAAGCAAACTAGCATCACAGAAATATCGCTAGGGATCTACAGTTCCTTCTAAGTTCGACAGAAGCAAAAGGAAGAGGCTGGATTGTAATTGTTTGAGCGTTCTGCACTGCCATGGCGTAATGTGGCATGATGGCAGTGCATTTGAGCCGCAATAATCGCATGCTTTGTAAGACGAATGTTCTCGACGGCTCGATATGCACACAGGTGCCTTGCTGTCTCCTGGCGAACCATACTAAACTCTGCGTTTTTGTTTGTAATGAGCCGAGCACTCTACGCGGTGGAACGCGATATCCCGTGGTATCGCGCATCTTGTCCCGAAACTCGTGGAGCATGTCAAAGATAACGACGACGTGAAATGGAGGGGCACGCGAGGCAACCAAGGAGAGAGGGGTAATGACTGAATGACCAATAGAGGCGGCCTCAAAGTTAGAAAAACAGGCGGGAAATGGTGAAAGAAAAAAGTCCTATTCTAGGCAGAAGGGGACTTTGGCACCATAAGGATTGGTCGCCTGGTTTAAGTGGAAAAAGGCGACCAGGATAACCTTTGGGGGCCGACAAGACATTGGACGTTGATGTGTGGAACTGGTGGAGGAGCGGTTTGAGAATACGCATGCATATATGGCAGTGCCTTGATCCGTGAAAGGACAGTCTGGTGAGGGTGTGGTAGCAAGGGAAAATGGCTGCACACCAAACTACCTACCTAGTATCGAGGTTTGAGGGACCGTTCCGTACCGTGAATGAAGGGTGTGGAGTGGACGGGAGGGACCCGTAGTGGTGGTATCGTGACGGATGTGGAGGAAGTCGAGCATGACATGAAAGCGCCAAGAGGTGTGAGTCTGAAAGCGGGTGACCAGTGCGAAGAGGTTGCGAGGCCTGGCTCGAGGTTGCCTGGGTGAAGTAAAGTTGGTCTAGTAGCTGGGGTGCAGTATTTTCACATGACCTTTCCTAACAGCATTATCCAGTTGACTCACATGGAGGGCCTCAGAATAAATTGGTCGCGCTTATCAAAACAGGGGCTGTGTAGAGTGTAGAGTGTAGAGTCTAGGAATGACAAGCAATTTGATCAACAAATTGCATTGTAAAAACGGCACCCCTTGATCTCGAGTGTGCGTGACTTGAAAAGGCGATATCGCAATTTGATACGCCTTTGGAAGAGAATCGCCAGCAAGCGGGTAGATCCGTAGTTTAATTGGCGATGCCACGGTAAAAGGTTTGACGTCTACTTTCCGAGTTCGGAAATCCCATCGAAGCCAGCCTGTCGACCGTCTTAAACCCGCATTGCAAGCCATTTAGCGACCGTTACCGTTACCGTTATAGGCAAACGAAACCTGGAGGTGGATGTGGAGGTGGACGGGAGCAGCCTCCCGCTGGGTCGGTAAGGCAGGGTACGTACTAGGCTAGGCTTGGGGCTCAAGACCTCGAGTCGGTACACAAAATTCCACATCTGAAATTGGTCAACAAACAGTCAAATTCAGGGGGTGGGAGTTCAAACGCACGCAATAAAGCATAAGGAGCTAGGGCTGGAAACGTGGTAACGGGGTAGCTTGGCGACGGAATGCGGGAATGCAAGGAGAGCCCACGATAATGACGGAGCTCGCTCAACTCAATCCACAAAAAAGCTCATAATCAAGCATTGAATGCCAGCAAGAGTCAAACTAGCTCGAGGCCACCTCACGAGCCGAAAACAAAGGGGGGCGCTTATCAGTCTAATGACCCAGCCCCAGTCAATATCAGACACTCCATTCCCGCCGAGTCAGAATTTTCTATTCTGCCCCAATTTTGTTCTGACAAGCGGGTAGGGAATGAAGCTCGAGCGTTTAGGTTATTAAACCCCCAGGAGCGGGAGGCCCTCCCGGCGGATGTCCCCCGGGTCCGGGCCCAGGCGACCGGCGATGGACGGCGGGCGGCTTCTCGAGGACTAGGGCATGGGTCTTGACTTGAAATGGTTTTGCTCTCCACACACAAGCTCTTCCATTCCGGCCTGATGAGCGATGTCTCCCCACGATTATGATGGAATACCAACTAGAAGCGCAGCACGATATCGTACCTACATAGGTAGTGTAAATCGCTTCCCTCCATTCATGATGCGCATGATATCGCACATCTTGCAGAATACATCATGGGTTACCAACCGAAGCCATGCTGCCACTCTTTCTGCTCCCGGATGCAAGAAAGCGAGCTGAAAGGGTTGGGCGACCAAAGACAAACGAACAAGGGGGGTTTCACACGCATCACATCTACGGCTGCCCTGGTCCAGAGTAACGCACCACGGGAGTTGAAGTTGGATGGATGTTTGCACACACACACGAATTGATTGTAAAGCTTTCTTTCCATGTGCCGAATAAGTCGCATTGACGACAAGGGTGACGGCGCAGAAACGCAACCAACGATACAGCGAAACTTCCATATTAGCACGTTGCACGTCAAGCGAGCCCCTTCCCTCCGCCAGCCCGATGAGTCACTCTCCTATAGCTTCCGTACAAAACGGACTCTTTTGGGTGCTTTGTGGGCAGCGGAGGCGCTCCAGGGGCGGCGTAAGAAGTGACTTGGTCGCTCGCTCAGATGGCGGTGTCCGCACCGGTGACGGTACTTAGCCACGAAGCGGCATGAAGCGGAGTCGTCGGCCAGCAAATAATCAACAACACGACCTTTTGTCGAAAATAGGTTGATGTTGGCGAACTGGTATTGCAAACGTTGCGACGATGTGAATCATAATTCCCTCCGTATCCTTTTTTGGAGGGTGGTTAGTGGGAGGAATGTAAGATGTTCGTGGATATCATGACAATCAACGGAAGTGAAACTGGCTGTTTCCGACCCCCCCTGTCTGTCATCCAGGGTGTTTGGCTGATGACTAGGGGGTAGCTTTTAAAGACGGTGACGATGTCGGCAACGCTTTTCTAAGCCCTCTTCTTTGTCTAGGCTTTTTCTCGTTGCTTTTCCGCTGCAGGTGTTTTCTTTTGCTTTGCCTAGGTTACGGCGTAGCACAGGCCAGGGATAATAATACCAATATCCCATATCATGCCCCTTTTTCGGCGATATGAGGGATTCAGGAATCAATGTCCAAGCAAAGAGCCGGGGGTGGTATAAGAGCACAAAAAGACCAGAATTTAGAAGCCGAACCGGCAGAGAAACAGAAAAGGACCCCGGCTTTGACAGGGGTTTAACGTTTGGAGGTGTGGGCGAAGTGGGCATTGGGCTCTAGTCGGCTCCCCTTGGGCACTGAGCGTTGGTTGCGGTCCCTGGTGTTGGCGTCACAGCGCTTTCGCTCATCGACTTTGCGCATACCGCACTGGCGGGTTTAATGTGTTGAGAAAGGATCCATGGCTTGTCTGAAGCGCAAATGCGAGTCTGAGTGTGTGCGCCAGGCCCAGTTTCCATTTACAATGTCTCTGATGTTCCAATCACGAGGTTGGAAAAAGAGTTCCCCTTCACTCCCTCTTTGGTGGTTCTCACACCCTCAACTCCCTTTATTTCTCTCAGTCTGAACAGGGGTTGATGCTATTTTGTAACGCAGTGATGAGGATGGGAGGGAAGAAAATGGCTGTTCCCTATTCCTCGGGTGCATGTGCGGTGCGGGTGTGTATAGTACCGCATGCCTAGGTACCTTAGTATGTAGGATCAGAGGAGGAGTCTGCATTCTGTCTGTCTGTCCCTTTCCCGTCTCTCCGTCTCTCTCCGCGTTTGCGTGCACCGTAATGTACCGACTCTGCATAGACGTGCAGTTGAGTATGTATAGGTGAGACTATAGCAGACCGCAGACAGTCGTCTCCCCATCTGCGTTTTGTCGTCATCTGTCCATGTTGAGCATAGATCAAAGAAGAGTGAGCGAGTGTATTGGTGTAAGTGTTTAAGACGATAGCTGAAAAAGCAGGGAATTCTCCCATAAACTCTGAGGCAGACACAGACGACAACAACCATGTCTTAGAAGGAGCACCTCATTCACTTCAATTTCCTTTCTTTCCATATTCATACTCTATCCCCTGCCTCTGTGTCTGCCTACCTGCCTTGCTTTGTCTTAGGCCTGGCCCTTCCTTTATTGCGCCCCCCTTCTATAGCCCACCCCCCATTCCAGACAACTAAGACACCTGTAGCCTGTAGGCCTTTTCTTTTTTTTTCTCTCCCACAGCCGAGTTTGACAAATCCCATATCAACCCGAATATTCTACTTTTTCCCTCTTCTGCCTGCACCTGAACTCACTTCTCTTTTCACCACACACAGGTTTATTCCAACCTTTCTCTCGAATATTCCATTCTACTCTGTACTGTGCTACAGGAAGGATATCTATCTATCGTCTTTGTTTTACTTGTTGGTAAAGCAATAGTTGACAACTAACTTGAGTTTACACCTCAACTCGTCTCTCTTAACTCG